GTCTGGGTTATCATGGTCACAGCAGTTTGTCTAGCTCGTGCACTGCTTCGAACCCCAGCGAACGTTACTAAACACACCAAGCATTATGTGGTACGGACCGCTGTCGGTGCACTCGTCCTGCTTTAATTAGTGCAGTCAGTGACCAGAAAAAGTTTCTTATCGTTGCGATCATAGAGACATAGACATGAAGAGAGACACGACAGCCCATCGAGGCTGGCCTACCTCGGGTTCCGCACACATTCCCTAAAATAATCTTACCGCCTGACCTGCCTGAGTTTAGCCATAAATGAGATCCTGATACCGATGCAACTTGCCGAAACAGTCTTAATAAATGCTGGTAGAGAGGTACTTCCTAAAAGAGTGTTTGACAGATCCATTCCAACGATTCGCTATGCTTTTCCTAAATGATATCTGCCATTGGGTAATCCTGGCAATGCCTTCAACCCGCCAGGGCTACCCTAAAGCATCCCCTTCCACTTATCATAATCGAATGACGTCTATCACAGAGTTCACAAAATTTCCCTGTATCAAGTTGGAACTGTTGAGGCTTTCGATACCCTAACCCATTTAATGTCGTCAGCAAATTTTGGCTCCTTACTTTCTAATCCCATTTCATTATCATTTACAAAAATAACAAAGAGCAAAGAACTCAACATAGAACAACCTGCGGAGCCCCACTCTCCACTAGCTCGCACTGAGATTTTACACAACTGAGCACCACTCCTTGTTTCCTGTCTGACAGCTAAGAATTTAACCAAACCAAGAATTTTTCCCTCAACGCTATACATTTTAAACCGATATAGCAGACGCTGTTTTTGACATCTTTATCAAACGCCTCATTAAATCTAGATAACAACATGCTCCTCCTCAATCCCATAAACATTAGCAACATATTCGATGAGCTCCAGAGAATTTATCAAACAGGACCTGCCAGAAGAAAACCATGCTGGCTACTATTTGTCAGCTGATGTTTATCTACGTGTGACTGAGTGCTAGCTTTGACGAATTCCTTTAAGATCTTACACACTAGTGAAGTAGGACTGACAGGCCTGTAGTTTTCTAAGACTTCTTTGGTCGCCTTGCTCAAACATCGGTACCACATGGCATTTCGCCAGTCCTCGGGCATTTTCTTCAAACTTAATGACCTATTAAATATTAACATAAGAGGCAGGCTAAATCAGATGGAATGCAAACCACACACCGGGAATTCCTGCCCAGGGTTCCCTATCGGCAGTTTCCCGCCCCGTTAACTTTGGTCACAAGCATACCGTGAAAAACATAACATGGCTAAATTCCTTAGAATTATTTTGTTATTTGAATTCATAATCGGCGCCTAGCAATAATTTGGGCGACAGCCTCATAAACTTAAAGGCTATTCATCATGCTTCTCTTAGGACAGTGACTTAGAAAGACCTTGTGGGGAGGCCGAATTGCGCCCCGCTCCCCACCTGAGCGCGCGTTAAGCAAATGGTGCAACCATGTTTAGCTTAAACATCATGTCTGGTCCAGTGTCGGAGAAGCATCAAGGCGGAAGAGAAAAGGGAGAGGGAATACACCATGTACTTTTTCAAGGATACAGGCCGATACAAACGCAAGCCAGCAGCTCTTCTAGCGGGATGGCCTGATCGCAAGCACGGTTACCTTCACTAGCGGTATATGCGCAGCAAAGGAACTGTCTCTAACTCAACGGTCCTCCCAATCGGGGGTGAGAGATGCGTGAACAATGCACAAATGGAGAGAGGCCCGGAACTGTCTGATAACACAGAACGTATTCTTCGATGAAAATCGTGAACCAATTTGCGCTAGCAAGGCAACACAAAAGACGTTCACAGCAGGGGAGAGCAGGCCGCTGCGTTAGGACAGAAGGCAACCGTGTTTACGATTAGGCCATCCTGGAAGCCGTGGGCATGACTGCACCTGCACCGGCACGGATCCAACGTAAATTTCTGGTGATCGGTGGTGATGGCGGTTTTCCAAGCCAGCGCAGCTGAAAGACCTGCACCTATTTCGAAAACGTGTGAGCCACCGACGTTCACGGTGCCGATGTCGGTATGTACAGCGGTCGTGGCCGAGTGGTTAAGGCGTCTGACTAGAAATCAGATTCCCTCTGGGAGCGTAGGTTCGAGTCCTACCGACCGCGTCAAGTGCTTTATGCGGTCGAGCTAAGGCTGGGTGTTAACTGGAATAGGTGTTGCACATGGACAGTGCGCCTGTTCATTGTGAATCCTCAGTGGCTTGTCCAGCTGGTGCAAACTGGTTCCCAGTACTCGTATAAAAATACTTAATAATTTGCAACGAGCATAAGCTGTAATAAGACGGTTCCAGGCCTATTTTCACGTATGCATCAGTCACGGCACCACTCACCCCCGCTCGTGAGGACGGTTGCGTTAGGGCTAATCTCTTCGCTGCACGCACGAACGACAGTGAAGGTAAAGGTGTCGTCGATCGGGGGCCATCCCGGGAGACGAGGTACGGGGTTACATTTGTGTCAAGTCTTTAAAAACAGTAAATGAGTGTATCCTATCGTGCTGTTTTACATGTCAGGTGTAAGCTAGCCATCGTTTCGCGATTGGCTTAAAGCGAGAGTAAGCTCTCACGTTTTTGCCGGGATACAGTGAACAGTGTGGGAGGTGGTGTGGGCGCAGACTGGACAGACCTCCTGGGGTAGTTGCATCTCATCTGGTCGCGACGATAGCAACAATACTGATCACGATTTGCGAAAATAATCGGAACAAGCGTAGGAGGTCACCCTGCAGTGGTCGTTGGCACCCGATCCTCGGTTTGTTTACTAATATCCGCTCGGATCGGTTCCAACCACAAAGCTGTATACAACTGGTGTGGTCATGTCAATGTAGACGTTACCTTCCGCGGTCGCAAGCAAATCGCTAGTCCGACAGTGATGGTAGGTTTCCCGCCCGCATCGCTGAAAGATCTGCATATGTGGCGAAAAAGTGTGAGGTGGCAATGCACACAGCGGTCGTGGCCGAGCGGTTAAGGCGTCTGACTAGAAATCAGATTCCCTCTGGGAGCGTAGGTTCGAGTCCTACCGACCGCGTGCAGTGTTTTGTGCGGTCGAGCTGAAGTTGGATATTACCTGGAGTAGCTAGCCGAGCGATGATCCGATCGTTCTGTGCAAACGAACGGGAGGGGAACTGCCGATGGCGTCGTTTCGATTACAAGTTTGATACAGCTGCAGCCCTTTACCTCCTCTTCCGAGATGGCCTGGTCATAAGCACGGTTATCATCTTTATTGGCGTACGTGCAGGGAAGAACTTGGCCCTAACGCAGCGGTCCGTGCGGTGGTGGTTCAGTGATGCGTAAACAGTGCACAACTGAACAGAAACAGCGAAAAGAAGGCATCTGACAACAAATAATGCATTCTTCATTGGCAAGCGTGAACCAATCTACAAAACCAATGACACAGAACGCATATATCTGCAACCGTAACAACTGTTCCAGGTAACACCCAGCCTAGGTTCGACTACAAGATAGATTGCACGCGGTCGGTAGGACTCGAACCTACGCTCCCAGAGGGAATCTGATTTCTAGTCAGACGCTTTAACCACTCGGCCACGACCGCCCCGGACGTACACGCATCACAACATTTACCACAAATGCTGCTTATCCATCTATAAATGCACCCAAATTTCCAATATCTGTATCAAAATCTATCTATGTATAATATCTATATCATACATCATGCCTTATCGGCGGCATAACTACTCATCGGCGACGTAGACTAAAAAAATCACCACCATCGTTGCCCACTAACAAGTTGTATTCCAGCACCAGATGAACCATCACCACCATCTTTGCCCACTAACAAGTTGTGTTCCAGCGCCAGATGAACTTTCTGCTTGGTCATTGCCGCACCAGTTGTGCCCAGCTGCGTGGGCGGAACCGATCCCAGCAAACGCCACGAGACAAACCGAGGAATACGTGGCACCGACCATTGCTGCATACACTCGTTACTCTGTTCCCATTATTTTGGCAGGATTTGAGTGCTATTATCGTCGAGATGACACCACCTGCAAACTACTCCGGCATTTCTGCCGTGCCATCGAGGATGTCTTACCCGCACTCTTCGCCGTACTATGCACGTGTCACGTGGCCACGCTCTGACTTCAAGACGGTCACGGAACCGCTATCAGTTGCCGATAAACGAACAAATGACATATGGGTCGTAATAATAAAATTAGCTGGGAAGCGTTTGGTCATATAAGATACACTCAGTGGAATCAAAATCAAGATTGGCATTCAACTCACTTTTCAAAGCCACCAGATCCGTTTTTATTTCAATAATCTTTATTTTCTGTGCCCTGTCATGGTCTTCGACCGAGATGAGTTCTTGCTCTTCCGTAAATGTTTCCTACCATCAACCTATCTTCTATGTCTTTCTAACCATCATAATCATACATGTCTTTCTAAACCATCTAACCATAACAACCATCTAACCACCAACCCTCGTCTATGTCGTTCTCTTCTATGTCTGTTCTAAAACATCGCCTGCATGCCTGGTCCATGTCTCATATGTCTGTGTGATCTTATGATCACCGTCCCATTGGCTTCTCAGCGTTATCACGTCAATCTAAAATGCCCCGGTCCGCGAACCTGCCATAATTTGTTTCCTTCCTCTACCAACACCTGTCCCGTTCCGGATTTGTATTTAGTCCTGTCCCTGGCGTAAATGCCCATTCCTTCCTGCCTCCAACTTGGTCTCATCCCGTCATTACCTGCATGTGCTGCCATCTCTACCTTGTTCCCGTTTCGGCTCGTCATCTGTATCCCCCTCCCACCCTTGCCTCCCCGTGTCCCCCTCCCCTTCGTGCGCCCATCAATCGCATGCACCCATCTATGTCTGCATCCTCCTATCCTGCACACTGCATCCTATCTGTCCCAGTCCTGACCTGTATCTGTTCCCGCTCCTCCTTCAGAGCCGGTCTCCAGTACCCTGCAGCTCGTTACAGCGCTGTTGCAAGCTCTCCAGCAACTGCAGGTTGGTTCTCCATCAGCTTCCTCTCCTCCGTCAGACCTTCGCCTGCAGAGAACGCGGGCCGCCGAGTTAAAATCGGCTCCAGAGAAGTGGCCGGAGTCAGAGTCAAAGTCAGGTGCGGAGCCAGTGTCAGAGGCGCGGGCGAAACAATGTGTGCCGAAAATTTGGCATATCAAATGCACAGGGCTTGTGGTATGTTAATGCACGCACGCATTATACCTGCCAGCCTACTCGCCTGTAATCATCATTGATGTATTTTCATCATGCGACATTGCAGAAATGTTGCATCACCGCGTGTTAGAATCATATCAGCCCAAATGACACCTGAGTAGTTAATAGCAATATCAAACACTGAAATCTAAATGCGCGCCGGAAATGCTTGAGATGGTTCAAATATCACGAGAGCCTGTGTTTGACAGTTACCTTCCTCTGCCGGTTGAAGCTTTGTCTTCTGATTTCGCAGCTTCTCTGCCAGAAACAATAGAAAATCGTTATAACGGAAACTGATTCATTTTTTGTGGGTAGCATGTTCGGGCTCACCGTTAATTCGTGCAACGTGTCCCATGCAAATTGCGATCATTTTTGGACTATTGAAATACGCTGATATTCAAAGTATTGATTTGGGAACCGTTTAATTACGCCGATTTTCAAACTGCTAAATTACCCTGTTTTCGAACTGTTGAATGACGCTGATTTTCTAACTGTTGAATTACGCTAATTTTTGCACTGTTAAATTACGCTGATTTTCAAATCTTTAACTGGTGAGGGAGCCAGAGTTTCTCAGTACCATCACGCTCGCGATCTTACCAAGCTCCTGTTTGTGCTCTTGCTGAATGCTGATCATGTTTTGACCGATTTCTTCCAATTTCTCTTCCAAACACCTGCAACGTCCGCAGTTTCTAAAAATGGTCGGAGAGAAGCCTACGAAGATTTACTGAAGCCTGAGCAACAACAAAAGGCAGGAAATCACGAGTACGAAAATGTTTGCTATCTTTACCACGCTGCTTTTTAAGGGTTCACGTTGAGACGAGCAGTTCAGAAAAACGGCTACGCACGAATTTCCACAGCTTGAATAATACAACAGGTAAAAGCACCCTGTATACAAAGCCAGCGTCCAGAAAACGACTGCACTTAGGATTAATCCCCGGTGTGTACCGTATGACATTGTCACAGAAGCCTCAAATGACACTGACGGCGCATCGAAGAAACATCGCACGTGAAGTCCTAATACGTAAACTACGCCGACCAGGTGACGGTTAATTTTTTAGAAATTTTGACGAGTGGAAATACGGTCCACGCCCTCACTTCCATGCGACGTTGTAGGCTAATTAAGTGCTTCCTCGAATTTTGGAGGTGGGGAGGGCACAGTCTTCTCAGGGGATCTTGATCCGGCACCATCCTCTCACCTGCAAACCTCCTCCTTCTGCTTCAGCTTGTCCAGGATGGTGATGTTGGCGTCCAGCAGGCCGGAGTACGGTACCCTCGGGCTGCTGGGGGGTCGCCCGAGGCCATCTCGGGCACCTCAAAGGTCACCAGCAGGTCATCGTTTGGTCGAAGGAAACCAGGGACTTCGCCGTCGCTGCGAAGGACCGAACAGCTGTTGATGCGCAGGGCTACTCAACAGCTTGATGAAGTCAAGTCAAGCTGCTTGACAGTTACAGTTTGAGGCTGCTATAGACGCCGATAGGCATTGGCCATGGGCCTATCATGGCCCTAATGCGTGGGCCTAATGCACGCTGTGCTATCATCAGAGCTTGGCCAGTACGTTAAGCATGACTTATTCTGGAAATTGGTCCGGCTTGTCAAAGGAGGTCGCATTTCTGATTTGCGTCGAAAGGCGAGATTCTGTCCCACTACAAATCATTCATAGAATAACTGACTTGCTGAAATGCCTTTTCATGATTTATTCGTTATTTCAAAAGCAAGAAGACGATAAAACAAGCACAGCGCTGGCAGACGAACGCATCTGAAGGACCGTCGACAATACATTTGAGAGTGACAAAGCCATTATTCCAAACGGCTCTATCAAGTGAAGAAAGAGATAGAGAGAGATAGAGAGAGAGAGAGAGAGAAAGAGAGAGAGAGAGAAAGAGAGAGAGAGAGAGAGAGAGAGGAGAGAGAGAGAGAAGAGAGAGAGAGAGAGAGAGAGAGAGAGAGAGAGAGAGAGAGAGAGAGAGAGAGAGAGAGAGAGAGAGAGAGAGAGAGAGAGAGAGAGAGAGAGAGAGAGAGAGAGGAGAGAGAGAGAGAGAGAGAGGAGAGAGAGAGGAGAGAGAGAGAGAGAGAGAGAGAGAGAGAGAGGAGAGAGAGAGAGAGAGAGAGAGAGAGAGAGGAGGAGAGAGAGAAGAGAGAGAGAGAGAGAGAGAGAGAGAGAGAGAGAGAGAGAGAGAGGAGAGAGAGAGAGAGAGAAGAGAGAGAGAGAGAGAGAGAGAGAGAGAGAGAAGAGAGAGAGAGAGAGAGAGAGAGAGAGAGAGAGAGAGAGAGAGAGAGAGAGAGAGAGAGAGAGAGAAGAGAGAGAGAGAGAGAGAGATTCATTGCAATAACGGCATCCAAATTTTTGCAATGAGGCGGAACGCTTGGGTGCGACTTTGGCGTGGCTTTGTTTGCAAAACACAGTGTGGTAAGCGTTGTGAACGAAATACAGGCATCATAAATATCCCTGAACAGATTAGGTGATTAGCTTTGAAAGCCTGACACTTCCAGCTATAAAACTTCGTGAATAAGACGCACTTGCAAAGAAATAGTATTATATTTGGCGGATAGGCGAAGCTATCCGAAATTTGTCGATATGCACATTGGAGTCCTTGACCAAAAAAAGTGAAGAGGGCTTCACTCAAAATAAAACCCTTCTTTGTAGCCAATTGCGAGTCTTTCGCACTATTTCTACGCTGAAACAAGATACATGCATGACGAGAAGTTTTATAATTACGCAGCTAATTCAAGCTGTTTCCCATCAAGTGAACTCATTCCTAACTCCGCCTTTTCCGTGATCCCAACCTTCCACTAGAGTCGATGAGACGCGTGACCTCTTCAGGGGCGTAGCTGTACACGGGCTCCTGCGCGTGCACGGGCGGTATGTCCTCCAGGGGCGTCGCCTCCACCTCCTCCACGTCCACCATGACTGCGCACGCGCCGCCGCCCGCTGGCCGCTCAGCTGGCGGGCGGTCGGCGCAGTCCGAACGGAGGTCCGGCTCCGAACACGCCTTCGTAGCGTCTGCCGGTTAAGGGGAGCTATTGTATCAGTTTCGAGCCTGCTGGAGAGGATTTAGGGTTATTGTGTTGGGGCAGGTTACCGGCTTGTCGCGTTCATGGAATATGTGAGAGGAGAAGAAAGGTTACAGTGTCTTTATAAGACCCTCTGAAGTAAAGGAAGGTTACAGTGTCTTTATAGGGCCCTCTGAAGTAAAGGAAGGTTACAGTGTCTTTATAGGGCCCTCTGAAGTAAAGGAAGGTTACAGTGTCTTTATAGGGCCCTCTGAAGTAAAGGAAGGTTACATTTGTAGAGAACTACGGAGAACAGGCGTCATGGTATCGTTAGAGTAAGACGAATAAGGAAAAGGTTTTGTATTGGCATAGGCTCAGGGGAAGGGTCCTTGCCGCATTCATGCATTTTGCCCCTGGTAAGGTCGGCTTGAAGTATAAAATAAGCAAAAAATTCGTAGTCTTGTAGGATGTAAATGAAAAAGTAGGAGGTAACTGTGGTAGCTGACGGAGAGCTTGCCAAAAGGGTGCGAAGAGTCGTAATGCTGGCGAGACGAGAAGGAAGAATAGGCATGATGCATCAACGACGTTACAAGTGTGAGAAGTGACTCAACAACGAACAATTATATTTGGTCGCAAAGCACCGTTTACATTGGCAATTTTCTATCTAAGTCGTAGCACTACAACCGCAAGCAATGCCGTGTAAAAGTCGGTGACGTACGCCATGTTTCTCAAACATTTGTATGGTATTGACATGTCACAGGTACTTTTAGGCTATCACCGAATCGATGGCCCATTGCAGGTCTACTCGGCTATATGGTGAACGAAGATCCATTTACAAATGACACGCTATATAGCTATATGGCATTCACGTCTTTTTTCCTGTCAATGAAATTGTGCTAGAAGTAAGAAGTTCTTCAGCTCTTCATCTCTTCAGTTTTTTGGAATAATGTGTTCAGAGCTCGCATGCTGATATATCGACCTTCAGCTCAGCCTTCGGCCTGTGGCGGACCTGACCTCTGAGCGCGCCCTCCACCTCACCTCCGAGTGTGCCCTCCAGTCCTGCGCCTGTCTTGTCCTCGGAGGACTGGCGGCTGTGCTGACCCAGCGCCGCCGACGCCAGCTCGGCCAGGCTGCCTTCCGACTTGCACCTGACGCGTGTCGGATGGCAGCGCGTTGGCGCATCAGATGGCAGCACAAACATCGGCGCACACCAACGGGGGATATCGCCAGCGTTGTGCACCAGCGAATGACATCTCCACTGACTTACAATGCCAGTGACTGTGACCGTTATCACACAGCAGTGAAGGAGCGGCCGCTATCACACAGCAGTGAAGGAGCAAACTATCACACAGTCAACCATATCAATCAATCAGTCAATCACAGTCATCATAAACACACTACGGAACATCATTCTCACATTTCTCCGGAAGCCATAGTTATACATACGGCTACGCATACGCATCACGCCGTTTTAAACTGCCTGTCGGGCGCCACCTATACTGAAAAAAGCAAACCCGGCCCTAAGGAAGGAGCCCGGGCCCCTGGCCCTCCCCTAGCTACACCCCTGGCATCATGTCTGGTGTGTCAGCCATCGCGGTCTACCTCTGTCCACCCGGCATCCTTCCCCTACCAGTCTACCGGCTATACCATTTCCCAGCCGGCCCTGCACCTGATCCCTGACCCCACCAGGCCACTTTGCCCTGACCCCTGACCCCACCTGGCCACTCTGCCAGCCTCCTGGTCTTGTTTGTCCATCGGCTGGTAGTTCGGTGCCAGCAGGGCGATGGTCGAGGATTCCGAGTCGGGCGGGATTCCTGTGAAAGAGGACGGCGCAGCGGTGGTTCATCCGGTCAGCTGGTGAGGTCATTACTCATTAGTGAACTTCGGCGATGTTTTCCTGCCAGCGGAGAGCCGACAGAGCTGGCGTCGAATCACGCTTCCTTTCGTCGAACTCGCGTCTCGGAACTGGCGAAATTGTACTCGTTGGCACAGCATATTCACTTTAAGATCTTGTAAGGTGCATTACAGCGCATAGGATGGTTAATTGTTAATTCAAGTCAACATCATACCTCAGGCGTCATGTGCTGGCTTTTGAGCCAGTGCGAGAAAACGGGGATCGTCCACAGCACATGAACTGATCCGCGATGAGATGCACGCTTTTGTTCATTGAAAGGACCAGAATCAACGACCGTAGGATCATTCCACGCGTACTCAACCAGTGGAGTATGTGCCACCATCTCAGATGTGGAGAAAACTTGATCGTCAATGTTATCCCCTGTTCTGATCACTATTCTGGAGTTATAGACTCTGTGCTTAGCCGTTTTCCGCCAGTGATGGTGTCAGAAAATGACCTAATGACGAACGTTCGTAGAGTTCAGCTATGATGATCCCGCAACCACAACACATTATTTCGAGCCTAAAGGGCGCTATGTAGCTCATAAAATGATCCAAGAGGTGATGAAAAAGGAACATTGCATTATTGGCACCATCCTGTGATTGTTACGCATTTCTACCTCAAAAGCCCAATTCCCGAGTTGTTTCCACCTTCGATTCGTTAACAACTTCGATTTTCAGAATTGTCGTTCAATGCTTCATCAAAACTCATCAATGGGTCGGTGGAGACTCGTTAAAACCCAAACAGTGCAGATGCAACCACCGCTGAGCGTACTGGACTGGCGCGGCATTGCCGGCCGGCCTCGCGCGTTACACAGCCCTCTGCCGACAGTCGGCCGACCCCGCGCGCTTACTCTCAGCCCTCTGCCGACAGACCCCCGCGCTACCCAGTCCATTGTCGGCCGACCCCGCGCGCTACTCAGCCCTCTGCCGACAGACCCCGCGCCGCTACCCAGTCCATTGTCCTGCCGACCCCCGCGCTACTCAGCCCTCTGCCGGCCGGCCCCGCGCGCTACACAGCCCTCTGCCGACCGCCGCCCCCGCGCGCTACCCAGCCCTCTGCCGACAGACCCCCACGCGCTACACAGCCCTCTGCCGACCGACCCCACGCGCTACACAGCCCTCTGCGACAGACCCCACGCGCTACAACAGCCCTCTGCCGACCCGACCCCACGCGCTACACAGCCCTCTGCCGACCGCCCCGCGCGCTACCCAGCCCTCTGCCGACAGACCCCGCGCGCTACCCAGCTCTCTGCCGACGACCCCGCGCGCTACACAGCTCTCTGCCTGCGACAGACCCCGCGCGACTACCCAGCTCTCTGCCGACAGACCCCGCGCGCTACACACCACCCTCTGCCGACCGACCCCGCGCGCTACCCACCC